CATTTTGCAAACGCCAACCTTTAATACTGGTTAGGATGGGCTAACAAAGAAGAAATTATTAGAAACGTGCTTGCCAACATTTTTGAATAACTCCCCTATGTATATAGCAAGCGGGCAATTCTTAAAAAAACTCGTACCATCATCTTCAATTCCAGGAGGAGCTTGAATAATAGGAAGTGGGGCAGAAGGAAGAGGGAGGGGCGGAATAGGCAATGGCGCCGTTTGAGGTTCCATGATGTCAGGAACGTGTCTCTCACCGCACTGGTACATCAGGTTCATTTTGAGAACATCAGTCTGAAATTGTGATACAAAGGCACTTAAAGTTTGTTCATTTTCTGACGGGAGATTCAGCGAAGATGAAGTTAAACTAATAAGGAAGCATAAGCAGGGCTTTCATGAATTGTGTACACAGAACTTGACTGACAATCTTTACCCATTACTGTTTTGTTTTCAGCTTCGCCGTATTTTTGGTGTATGGCTTTCCACAACTCATAATTTTGGTACAAATGTGAGGTGTATTGTTGTAAGAGATAAAACGAAATGGCAATTTATAGACTTTATAGATTTGCCTAGAAGAACGCCGATCTTCTCAGTTTTTTATAAGAGATAGAGAAAAGTTACTCTTCCCTACGTGCCTCCATACATTGGAGCTAGGCCGGACTGGTTGCCATGATGCTTCCTTAATGCACCCGGTAACTTTTGAGAACAGTAAACACAACGCTATTATTGAAATGTTAAAAAAAAGTTTTTGTCACTTAGCTAAGTGTTTTTTCCCATTGTTTCTAGTTTCACTTTCAAAGAATCGCTTTTGTTTCTGTTTTCACAAGTATGAGTCAAATCGCCTACAGGGCTGAAATCAATTGCAGAGCCAATCACTCTCGTCATCTCAGGAACTCTCGCCACCATAGTTTCGAGGCCATTCTTTGAAAACGCCAAACTATCATAATGCATGATCGAGTAGTAGTCATACACTTGGCCGTAGTAGGAACTCTCGCTCAGATCTACTTTACCAAACTGATCGTATGCATCTGAAACAAGCTACGGTCGTTGACTTGTTTAATGAGAATTAAGATACCTCTATCAATGTTCTGCCAAAGTATCTTTATATAATTATCGCGATCCCATCTTTCGTGCTCATGGTAAAAGCCTACGGAGTGCATCAACTCGTGAATAGCTGTATCGTACTGTAAGAAACAATTAGACAGTTTGAAAATATTGAAAAACACTAAAAACTCACCTGCATGCAGCCATCGTCTAACGATAATTCCTGCCTTCCTCCAGCTCGACCAACATCGGAATAGCATCTAATCATAAATATGAGCGTGGTAAAGATGAAAAGTGAGGGCCGCTCACTGCGACATGAGATTTCAAGCTTCAAAGAACAGGCACCGCATTGTGCACGTACTCAAGCATTCTCAAAGTATAGGAATTCTTCATCATTTTTTGCTTCAATTCCCCTTCTCACAGCTAACAGCTTTTCTACTGCGGCAATAATACCGGATCTGTGGGATTTACGCTTAGCTTTAGAAATATGACAGCTAAATTTCTTTAACTTCCCATAACAGATTTGATTGTCGCATCTCCCGTAATCTCTTGTCTCAAGCGAAAGCTTATAAGTGAAATTAGCAAATGTACGAGCTCAGAGTGATTTGTATATAGGCAGATTCTCTAACCTATGATCTGGAATTTAACTTTTCTCAGATTTCTATAGGTTTATTTAATTCCCCTTGTTTGAATCCGCCTAGACTTTATTAAAAGAGTTCAAACCTTACACCTTTTTCGAGTTTCAAAACTATATGA